ATCGGTTGCAGTCGAGGAGATCAGCGTAAGACCCTGCGTCATACACGAATGCTGACGACACTGCATCTTCAGAAAATCAAAGGATCAAAGGCCATTCACAGTACCAAACGCAGTAGCTTTCTCACTCACCAACAGAGAATAAGTAACCTACCTTCGTAACAATCAACCTGAGTAATGATTTCACACCCTAGTGCACACAATGCCATACAAGCACTCTGAGGTCTCCAGACAATACATGTACTTCGATGAGAGCGGATTTGCAGGCCTGTGACCTCTGCACAGGTGACCTTGGGGGAGGAGTGCTTATAAAGATTACATCACACCCAAATGCATGCTAGGTTGATTGTTGATCTGATTGGATTAGGTAAGATTACCAATGTCGATTTATAGGTGATGAAAATTACATTGAGGTGAGAGTTTTGAGTGTCTGGGGCGCTCTATGGTGTGTAGGTCATTTTGAGACGCTGTCCATTACATTGGCCGTGCAGTAAATAGTCATCTTTTTACGGTCTCAGTCGTCTGTCGTGTTCTCCTTATGCCATCTGTTCATTTCTGTTGTGATGAGCATAAGCACACGCTATGGGGCTACAAGCCTATGACATAACACTGAGCTCTCCACCTAATTTCTCCATCTCTCTCGCTACGGTGGCATAGGGAGAGGATGAGCGTTAGTCATCTCAGTCCACTCACAACCAGGCAGATCCTGCTGCATCGGCACACGCTCTCTCTCACACACATATACGCATGGAGACGGCAAGCACAGAGGGGGAGGGAGTAAATGCTGCAGTGCTCAGCTGATCCGCTCCCTTTATGCCCCCCCTTACTTTCTCTCTCGTTCACATGCACATAAACACTTTATAATGCATGGAGGATGGAATCCTCTATTCATGTATTCATGTAATATTGGACAGATAAACAACAGTTATGCATGAAATAAGTTGAAAAATGCAAATCTCTGCCTAAAAATGGCCTTTCTACAGCGTAGTGCACTATGCATTTTTATGCATGAATAAAGAATTAGTAACGGCACCAAATCTTGGTATACTATGCTTTGTTAAATTGTATGTTATATTATATTATTAAAATATATAATATTATATAAATAATTACAACTTGCCTTAAATTAAATAAAAACAAAATTATTTAAATTATTAAGTGTAACTGTATAAAACGTGTTTGTGTTTCTGTTAAAAAAACATTATTTTTTTATTTTTAAAAATTCATCTGAAATATTAGTGCATGCTGATATTGTCATTGTATTTATAAGCTTTTACTTTGTCCCGTTCAGGTCTGTACTACCATCACTCTCTCTCTCCTTCACCACACCCCAGGTTTTGTTTTGCACCATTTATGCAGCATTGTTTTTATTTTTATTTTATTTTTTATCATTCTTGAATCTCACATTCGCAGCTGCCTCCATCTACACTCTCCCAGATCATCAGCAGACTGGAGCACAACCTCTCTGAGACCCTCCTCTCAAAAAACACGCACACACACACATATATTAATGAAATGCAGACTCATCCATCACATCTACATTAAATCCATAGGGAAATAATTGCAAAGACCCTTACAGAACACAGCTATTATTATCACTGTCTGTAATACTGCATTATTTTACCCTGCGTGGGACACACACAGAGAGAGTAGCAGCAAACATCTGCACTTACCCACATACATGACTCCTTCCTTGGTCCTGAGAGCTGCCTCTTCAACCCCAGCTTTAGTTTTCTCAGCGGCGGCCACCACTCCTTCCTTGGCCATGGAGAATCCCTTCATTAGAGCATCCATCCTGGACGTTGACTTTGACTATGGTGCTCTGCAGACGGACTGGGCCTGGCAGTGTTTGCGAGGGCTGACGGTGTCTGGCTAAATGCTGAAAGTTTCAGATGACAGGAGAGAGGAATACAGAGAGATTCTGCGCCGGGAAAGATGGATACACGGACACCCTGGACAGAAAGCAGTAGAATGAGAGTGAGAAAGAGAGAGAGAGAGAGAGAGGTGAGCAGGCGCAAGAGAACAGGATGCAGAGAGACAGAACCTGCTGGATGCTGCAGTGCATTTAAGTCGTGCTGCGGCTACAGCCTCCACCCACACCCCCCACCACACACACACACACACACACACAGCAGACGTGCACTGCTTCTCACAGCAATGTAGAACACAGACTGATTACATATTTATTACGCTCTAGCCAGCAGTGCATTAAAACCAGATGATTTTTTACAATTATTGCTATCCTCTTGCATCTTGGGGACATGTGCTCTGCCCCATAAAGATTCTTTATTTCTTTATGGGAATTAATATGCGTGTATAAACATTCTTATCTGGCCCATGTATATAATAATTTACCATAACCAAAGTAAAAAAATATTTGTGTGAGTAAATATATATATATATATATATATATATACAGTATATATGTGTGTCTGTGTGTGTGTGTGTGTAATAATATTAGTAATATTATATGACTATGTATACAAAAGGCCTATTTCTCTGAAATATTGTTCACAAATCGGTCTAAATCTATGTTAGTGAGCGCTTCTCCTTTGCCAAGAGCATTATACAGCATGATTATTGCACAGGTGTGCCTTAGGCTGGCCACAATAAAAGGCCACTCTAAAATGTGCAGTGCAAAAAAAAAAAAAAAAAAAAAAAAAAAGTTGTTGATCATGACCTGAGGAATGTTGGTCCACTCCTCTTCAATGGCTGTGCAAAGTTGCTGGACATTGGCAGGACCTGGCATACGCTGTTTTATACACCGATCCAGAGCATCCCAAACACATTAATTCATGCTGACTGCAGGAATGTCCACCAGAGCTGTTGTCTGTGAATAGAATGTTATTTTCTCTACCATAAGCCATCTCCAAAGGTGTTTAAGAGAATTTGGCAGTACACCCAACCGGCCTCACAACAACAGACCATGTGTAACCAAAGAAACATGACCAAAAAATAACCAAATTGTTAAAATAAACACAAAACAAACAAAAACTCACCATTCAGTTCAACACTACTGACGAGTGAACATTGAACCTTTCATGTTCCAGCCAGGTTCGTCACTTGTTAAGGGTCCCGGTAATAATAAAAATAAATATTTTCAAGATTTGTTATCACAACATATTTTCTTTTGTCAAATCAAAACTTTATAATAATTTATTTAGTTGAGATAACTTATTATTTTGAGTTTCTGATGATTAAATTAATCTACTTCATTGTATTAACTCACTTTTTCCAGTTCAATTAACTTAAAATGTTAAGGCAACCCAGGTTACTTACTTTTTTTAAGTTAAACCAACAATATTTTTTACAGTGTAGTAATCACAATATTTTTTTCTTTTGTCAAATCAACTTAAATAATTTATTTAGTTCAGATAACATATAATTTAGAGTTTCTGATGATTAAATTAATCTCCTTCATTGTATTAACTCACTTTTTCCAGTTCAATGAACTTAAGATTTTAAGGCAACCAAGTTACTTACTTTTTTAAGTTAAACCAATAATATTTTTTACAGTAGTGCTTTTCTGGGTACTCAAAGCACTTCACATATGGAAGGGGGACTCTCCTCAACCACCACTAATGTGCAGCATCCACCTGGATGATGCGTCGACAGTCAGAATGCGCAACTCACACCCATGAAACATTTGCAGCGTGTTTCTGTATTTGGTTGAGTTGAGCATTTGCAGCACATTTATTGTAAAAACCGATGATTTATTTTTTTCTCTGTTTGCATGTTTTCTTCGGTTGCAGAGCATTGGGCACGTACAATGTACAGCATGTTAATACGTATAATATGTTATTTTATTGCGAGGATAGAATATTTCTGTTACAATAGGGTTAATATTACCACTGTTTTGGGAAAATTTAAATAATTGTATTTGCTGCAGACCTGCACATAGATTGTAAAAAAGACAAAAAAATCTAACAAAAACAGCTGAATCATTCTTTACTTTCCATGGTAAACATATTAAGATTGTCAGCTGAAAGTCACTACTCAGCAGGAATTCTTTGGTGTGATACAATTTGATTGGATGAGGGTGGTAAATGTCAACCCACCAGGTGGCTGCAGATTGGTTAAGGACCACAGAATGATGATTGACACAGCAAATAGAGGCTGTGAAGGACCTCTGAGCTGTAATCTCTGATGGAATCCGACAGGGTTGCTCGTCCACTCCGCTGTGCATCAGATGGTCAGCTGTTTCTATGTGGGATTATACAGTTTACAGCTTATGAATGAACGAGATATTCTTGTCCATGACATTCTACATCAGTAATCTGGAATGACATACATACATACATACATACATATACAGTATATATATAGTTAAACCAACAATAAGCTTGTTTGAATATAAAATACAGAGTCATTCAATATATTTTGTAAAAAAAATAATTTAATAATTTGTGTGGTCATGTAGATTAGCAATTGTGTAATGCATTAAATAAGATATAAAAAGTACTATACCTGTACACATGAATCAGGATTATGGATGAAACAAGATCTTCAAATGAAATAATAGCTCATTTAAAAAAATATATATAAAGCTGAGAAGTTATGAATAACTAATGAAATATACTGTAGTAATGGAGTCCTCTTTGAATAATGCAAATAGTGATTAATTATGAATGACATCATTAATAAACTATTAATTCGCTCTTTGAGTGCAAAAATGCTACCCAAAACAAGGCTATGACTGATCAAAAAAGCACATGATGGTAAAGGAGGGTGTAAGAAAAGGAAGTATTTTTACTCTCATGTCAGATTAAAAGTGGAGCTGATTTCTCACCAACTAAATTATCCTCATACTTCAGATATCATAAGCATACAGAGAACGTAAGCATTGATCAGGCTGCAGACTGCTCATCTATATCTATTATTTTCTTCTGCCAGCATGACATAACTGAGAGCTGAGAATAAGCCGATACTACACTGTCAGAAGAGCTCAAAGGATCAGAGACTGAATAGAGTAAAGGAACACTGTACAAAAATATCAGACAGAAATGCATCTGAAGGCATCTCAACTGCATGCCAGTTCTTTGCAGGTGAGTATAGCTGTTATGTGTTCTTCTGTAAACAAACACATGCCAGTCAGAACATGCCTTTTATGGCATACGCAATGTTTGTCTGCATGCTTGGTTTTCTCATTGGAACTAAATTAACATCCCACTTAAAACTACAGTAAAGCAAATGGAAGGACAGAGTTTGAAATACGTAGACATTGTGCTTAAATGGTAAAAAGAAACTGCCTCGCTTAAGGCTCTACTCACCAAATAAATATACATGGCCATTAAATATTGTGTTATTGGATATTCAATTATTTTACCATCTTACTTGTATATTATATTACCCCTGTAAAGCCTGACATGTGGTTCATATACAGTAGTATGATGAAATAGATTATAGAGCTCTAACTAAAAAATATTTTAGTTTTAGTTTTATCCAGAGGCCCAATGCAAAAATATAAAATTTGTTTCAACTGCTGATATTTATATGGCCAAAAAGTAAGTTGAAATTCTGATAGTTTGCATTATAAATCAATGAGGTCTTCATAACAGTACAGCAGACTATATTACTGTACATACAGTATATCAGCTGTCACTCTATATCTCCCAATAGTGTGTCTTACAATATACAACAGGTAACGTATTTCAGCAAAGTTTTAATCAAGACCATTTCACAAGATGTAAACACAACGCGTTCTCATCCCAAAGCGCCATATAGGACGCTTTTGCAAAAGCGTAAATATCCAACGCACATGGCACCCTTTAACGTCTAATGAGACGCTTCGGTTAATGGTTAAGTTTAGGTATGGTGTAGGGTAAGGGTTAGACCACTAGGGGACGCCTTCTGCCCAAATATATCTGCGTCTGGATATTTGGATATTTACGCTTTTGCAAAAGCGTCTTCTATGGCGCTTTGGGATGAGAACGGGTCCAGAAGCACTTCCTGTTTCAGTTTTTTAACACTACATAAAAGCTGGGATAAAATACAACCAACAGAACATTTAAAACTGAATCAAAAAGTTAAACAAACATCTTTGAGATGTTTTCTTTACATGTGAAATAAAGAAAACAGTTGCAAACTGAAACAGGACCAGTGTTGTTTACATCTTGTGAGAGGTCTTAGAAATTTGTTTATCAAATAGGCTATGATACAGAAGGCGTAGGCCTAAGGTCAAAACTTCCGCTAACTACAACAAAAAGATTGACCGAAACAAACATTAGACTACAACAGTATTACAATAATTCTAAAATAAGGGAGCGCGAACCACGCCGGCGGTTTAACTTACCTGGTTGAGTGGATTAGTCCTTCAAATATAAGGAAATATAATATAAGGATCGATTGACCAAATATGATCAAGTAGGCTAGGGTGACCATATTGTGATTAGGCCTTCCAAAAACCAGGACACTCGCCACTCGGTAAACAGATATTCAAGTTTACTCAAAGATGACTTATTAATTTCAGTACATTTAATGTAGGCTATGCCTCCTCTGTAGGCTACATTCTAAAAAATGCTGGGTTGTTTCAACCCAAATTTGGGTCAAATATGGACAAACCCAAATGTTGGGTTAAAAATGTAATTTAAAAAAATTTACAGCTGAAAGTGAAAGTTGAAGTTAAGTTAAAATTTCAAATTCCATTTTTACCCAATATTTGGGTTTGTCCATATTTTTCCCAAATTTGGGTTGAAACAACCCAGCATTTTTTAGAGTGTATGAATAGAAAATTGTTATTTTACAAGACACAAAATCAGATTTGATTTATTATGAAAGGTTTTCAATAATGAATGATATAATGATAGAAATAATGACTCATCTCTATTAGAAAAATAAATATATAAATAATAAATAACTAAAAGAAATACCCCCAAATTAAACAAAAATAGCTCTCACTAACTTACAAAAACAAACAAAATATATTTATATCTTTAGTTTTCTTCCTCTTTATACTGTTTTTCTTCCTCATCCTCCTTGTTTGTCCATCTATATTTTGCTGTAGAGCTGAAAACCAGGACATTTTTATCTCTTTATAAAAAACAGTCAGGACGGGCAGGACAGGACGTGAAAACAGGACATGTCTTGGGAAAACAGGACTGTTGGTCACCCTAAAGTAGGCCTATTCCAGAAAGCTGTGTAACAATGAACAAACACAGAAAGAGCGGAGGATAAGATTTTGTGGAAATACTTTATTAAATAAAAAAAAATAAAAAAATCATTCAACATAACGGAACGGCTCAGGAGAGTTAATGAATTCTGGAAATCTGTAAAACATTTTCCGTTCTGCGTGGGAGGTTCCATGTGGATCTGCTCATTAGTAAAGCGAAGTTACAAAAAGAATCCGACATGTAGTCATTTAACATACTGCCGCTCAGCTATTTAAATAATAATAATTTGTTAAAGACAATATGTTTTTAGCTAAATGTGTCTTCACGTCAAAGCTTTTTTAGAAGTCTTTTTAAAGCTATAGAAGGTTTTACACTATGCTTATCTTAGAAAATGTTATTACAAATATGTCCAATACTAAAATACCCTTCTCATCACAACATCCAAAAATGAATAATAGTTAGATAATATCATCCTCCTACTCTTAAAGGGGTAGTTCACCCAAAAATGAAAATGTTGTCATTACTTAATACTCACCGTCATGTTTATCCAACCCTTTCTTTCTTCTGTTTGACACAAAAAGAAAACATTTTGAAGAATATTGGTAACCAGACAGTTGACAATAGCCATTGACTTTCATAGTGGGAAAAAATACTATAGAAATCAATGGGTGCTGCCGACATTCTTTAAAATATAAAAAATGTGTTTGTTCTCAACAGAATAAGAAACTCAAACACAACATGAGGGAGTAAGTGATGACAGAAGTTTCATTTATGGGTGAACTATCCCTTTACGTTTATAGCCTGCTTAAGGTCCGGTCAGCCTAACAGCCTAACAGGAAGCCACATTGAAGACCAGGCCGAGTAGGAGACCCCCTGTTTGTTGTCACAGCTGAACTCTACGCTGTTGAGGCAGTCAAGCGGAGACCCCGAGGACCACCACACCACAGAGAAAATGGCCTCTTAGTTTGACAATAACTCCTTCTCTCTGTACAAACCCCCACCGCAAGCTCTCTAAATCTAGTCCGACCTTTTGGTAGGTGGGATGTTTTCCCTCCAGGCTGAGAGAGAGCATGAGGTCTGCTCCGAGGATGGAGTTTGGGAGGCATGGTTTATGAAACGGGGTCAGGGCTAAGAACAAGGACTCTTGTGTGTTATAAAAACTCTTGCCATTTATCACTGCAGACAATCTCTGGACGGTAAACATAGCGTAGCTGCGCTGACATCTATTTCATATTTTTCCCCTTTCTCTTGAAAACCTTTTCGAGCCACAGAATACGCAATAACATCAATGTTTAAAAGGTTATTTATAGACCATAAAAATGTTATTTTAAGAACTACTGAAAGGTTCTTTGAGAACCCAAAAATGGTTATTCGGTATCGCTGTGAAACTATCGCTGTGTTTTTAAGAGTGAGGTTAGGGCTTTACAGTAAAGTTCAATTGGTGAACATTAGTTAGATATGCATTAGATATGGTGAGCTAACAATGAATAACAAAATAGATTAAAACGAATTTATAAACATGCTAGTGTTCATTGTTAATTAATGTTTGTTCAAAATACTTTAAAGGGTTAGTTCACCCAAAAGTGAAAATAATGTCATTAATGACTCAACCTCATGTCGTTTCCAAGCCCGTAAGACCTCCGTTCATCTTCTGAACAAAGTTTAAGATAGTTAGTTAAAACCCCTTCCAAAGTTAGATTTAGTCCGACAGCTTTCTGTCCCTCCATTGAAAATGTATGTATGGTCTATCCTTGTCCAGAAAGGAAATAAAGACATCATCAAAGTAGTCCATAGTGGGTTAGTTAGAATGTTTTGAAGCATCGAAAATACTTTTTAGTCCAAAAATAACAAAAACTATGACTTTATTCAACATTGTATTGTCTTCCGGGTCTGTTATCAATTAACATATTACAAATGTTAATGAATGGAATCCTTTTGAACAGTGTTACGACTGTAAGAATGTAAACTACATAGCCTAAGTAAAAGGAATTAACGTGGACTGGTATAGCATGGTTCTAGCAAATGACTAGGTCAAAGATTTAAATCATGATTACAAATTCTGATAAAATCTCTGAACGCAATGCCGCTTTAGATATCTTTCAAATGCTTAAGAAAGCATAAACATGGAAATCAACCATTATCTTGCAAAGCATCATCCTGCAATGTGTTCTTGAGTATGGAAGGATGCTGTAAGATTGTAAGTAGCATATTACATGGATTTATGGTTGTTAGCAAGCGGCAGATTTCCTTCTATTGTTCTGGGGTGTTGATACTGTCAAGGGAGAGGAGGGAGTGAGAGAGAGAGAGGGGGAGAGAGAGAGAGAGAGAGAGAGAGAGGGAGTGGGAACTGAGAGAGTGGGGAGTGAGACATACTGGTGAGGATACCGGCTGGTTTGGACGGAGAGAGAGAGAGAGAGAGAGAAGGAAAGAGGGGTGGGGAGTTTCCAGGATTGTTTAAGGCTAGTTTTAAAACTGCCATCCGGAGGAACACTTTCAGTACCTCTGGAAAGCGAGATGGCCCAGACTGTGCCTCTGTTGCTGTTGGCCGTGCTGAACTCTCTGAGCTGCCACAGTGAAGTGAGGGCCAGGGACCCTGATGTGGAGGAAGAGGAGGCTGTTGGGACTGGAGGAAGAGCACATCATATGCCTGTCACCTTTGGGATGCCATATGGACATCACAGCATCCCAGTGTCTCCAGCTGGCTCAAAAGAGACTATACGTCTACCTGCAAAAAGAGGGTGGGTCAAATGGGCATTTTTAAAACTATTTATATTTATAACTATACATACTGTACAATTTTGTGTGAATGGACCTTAGTCAAATGATTTAATTAATGATTTCAAATGAATTATACAGAGAATATTTGTATGTTTAATAAGATACTGTCTAAAGGTCTTAGTTCATCTCTAATTTTCATATAACCATTGTTTTACATTAGTCAGAAGTCTGGGTATGTCTTTTTGTTATTAATACTATTTACTACAAATCAGAAAAGTTCAATAAAGTCAATGAAAATAGCATTAAGTGACCAAAAAATGGTTATAAATCAAATCAACTAGCCAAGAGTCACAACTTTAATCATTCTCTCGGCTTATAGGGTGCATCATGGGATATTTTTTCCGCTGCTGTCCCTTCTCTATCTGGCCCAACTATTCATTTTATTAAATAAAATACTATTATTTTTATTAAAATATTTTTTAAATTACAAAATCATTTTGTAATAATGTATAAAAATCATGTTTGTAATAAAATGTAATTATTATAATATAAGATACTTTTTCCCTTCAAACAAATATTTTTGTCTGTAAAACTAATTTCAAGCACTTAAGCATAAACCTTTAAGATGATGGGAATCAAATTCAAGTATACTTTCACTGGAATTAATTTATTTGCTAAACTATCTACACAGTATACAACAGTACAACCCACTGAACAGACTAGACTGTGCATGTATCCCACACAGCCTTGTTTTAATATCATATTATTAAATGTGCCATTTACCCTGACTAAAGTCCTTTTCATTTTCCCTTTGTTCCGAGAAAGAAAAAGCAAATGAATTTGCCCGAGAGGCTTAATTACAGTGATTTTACAATGAAGATACAAGTCAGGGCTTCAGTGATCTGGGAAGGTATTATGGACTGACTGAGTTCTATTGTGATATCCAATATGTATAGGATCCAGAAAAGTTATCCATCCACTTCTATAATCAGCTCAGTCTTACATGTATTAGCTGATATTTCAGCCTTAACAACAAACACAGTAGCTCTCTCTCTTGGACGGATGAGAGGAATTCAACCAGACTGGGCATGCTCACTACAGCTTAACAGCGAGGCAGAGGACAGGTACCCCTACAGCAGTTTTCAAGGGCATTTGCTTTTAGTCTGGGCCAGAACAAAAGAATATGAGAACCAGATGTGTCCAGAAAAGACATAGGAGGAGTGCTAATCAAAAGTGTTTAGGTGTTTAAAAGAAAAATAAAAGAGAGATAAAAAGAGGGGTGAAGATGAAAGAAAGGTGGACTGATGAAGGATGTTCAGATGTGGGCACATGCGGAGACAGATAAACGATAAAACCATAAAAGCGGCAGACAGGGAATTCAGCCAAACTATGACTGAATCAGTGGCTGAATAGGGGCTGATGTTTTACTGGACAAAGGGTGTATGGTTCAAGGTGGAAAGAAAGGAAACAGGACAGCACACTTGTATATCTAATCTCTTTGTTTCTGAAACCAACACTGAAACGGATGCACAAAGGAAGGTCAGCTGAAAAAGCACAAGTAATGGGCCATACATTCAAAATGTGTGCTTGCATTTAAAAACAACTATCAGAATGGACATGTTATACAATTTGAACTGTTTTTACCTTAAAAACCACATCCTGGTGTTTCAAATGCAAATGGAGAAACATCATAGCAGTCAAAGATGCCCCCATATATGGGGCATTCACACAAGATGCATTGTGTCCATCTGCACTCTTTTTTTAAAATGTGTGCACTTGACAGACATCTTTAACATTTGCTAAACATTTATGCTTCCTTTCAAAGCTGCAAATTTAACTTGTGCACAATATAACAAAATCGTCACTTTCTGGGAAATTGGCACAGAATATCTGTAATAAAAATGGTAGTTGCTGTAATTGATGAAGCTACTGACGCTCTTTTTCATATACATTGCAAATGACTTGCGCCTCAGAACATGCATGCAATAAACGCTGTCATGTTATCCTACATTCGGATACGCTTGTTTTTTTAGAAGGGTTAGGGTTTTCCATCCAGCATTTTTATACAATATCTCAATATTTGCATAAAAATAGCTGGATGGAAACATTGTGTTAAATTAAAACGCAGAACAATGCATCATGTGTCCCATGAACACAATATGGATGCAAGAACACATCCCATGTGAACCGTCCGAAAGAAATGCCTCCAAGTAATTTGAGGGGAATAAACTGTTTGCTTTACTAGAATAAGCTGCATCTTAAAAACAACAGACTGCATAAATAAATAGAACTGACAGTGGAAATCTTGTTTATGTACTTTTATATCAGCTCTTATAGGCCTATCATTCATGATAAGAACAGCACTCTGAACACCACCTTTTTGAGCATGCATTTCAGTATTCGACAGGATGCAACTCCTGTAATAATGCAAACCAGGTCATTTTTGCAGAATACAATTTCGTAGGCTATGTTTACGAAATACTACACCACAGAAAAACACAGACTTGTCAAAATAAGATTGAGCATGAGTAAATATCGTAATCACTGTGTGCATATCAGATTCTCTCAGATAAAAACAAACATAATAAACGAGCCAAAAGAACGACATATAAAACCTTTTGCTCAGCGATACTATCTTGCCTTGAGCTTGTTGGGAAGGGTACATCAGGAAAACAACAGGGGTTTAAAAGCGTATATCTTCATCAGTCTGTGATTGCATGTAATCTCTGCTCTCAACTTTCACTTTTCCCTCGTTTTTTCCTTCCAAACGTCCTCTCTCTGATCAGGAACTGGTGTGCGTATGTAAATCACCGTGTGGTCATGTCAGCCGTACTCTGCACAGAGACTCAAACATTGAAATCAGTGAACCCCTGTCCCGATGGAGCGCCTGACTGTCAAGTCATCACGTGAGTCGCCTCATAACCTCAGATCTTACGTTTCTTAAAAATATGTTTTGCTTTATTGATGATGATGATAATGATGATGATCAGGTATAGGCAGTCTTCACGGCCTGTGTACAAGCAGAAGCAGACAGCACTGTCTTCTACGCACTGGAGGTGTTGCCCAGGCTATGGAGGACTCAACTGTCAGGAAAAAGGCAACACACAATCTCCAGGAAGAGGTCTGGATATACAATCCTTTTTACTCAACAAAGCATATGCATGTTAGAAATATGCATGTTGCTCTTCCGCCACTTTAAAGGTGACTCATGTGTTGCTTCCTCTGTATCTTTATTTCCAGACAAACCCCCAGAGGATGAGAAGCATGCTTCAAAGTCTGAGGTCAATGACAATGACAACTCAGGCAAGTCTGTTGTTTTGGGCAAGGCTGGCATTGATGACCTTTCATACCTTTCCTCTTTCTGCAAACTTGCTTCTTTAAAACAACCTTCCTGACAAACAGAGGAAATATCTAGCAGGCGCCTGGCTCAGTGAGTGTCCTTTAACAGGAAAGGAAGAGTCAGCTGGCACTCGGGATAGCTGTAGAAGCAGTGGCTTATGCCAGCAGGCAAAAGCAACAATCATATTTAAGAATAACAACATCTAAAAGTTGTTTTCCAAATTTCCAAAATGTCCTGTAGGTGAATATTTTAATTGGTGGTAGAAAATTTTCCCATGCTGTTGAAAGAAGCCATCATGTGCCATCATGCCTTAAAATTGATCCTGTTAGCCCTTCAGCCATCTTGCAGTTTGACAAATCACATTGTACTTTAAAATGTTTTCAATAAAGTATCAGTCTTTGGCAGTTCTTAATCTAAAGTCATTGTGTTTGTGGGAGTCTCATGTGAAATTAATGAAATAAAAAAAGGTTAATAAAAAAAAAAGACTATTCTTAGTAAAAATAATTTTTAGTTTCATAATATTATGTAAAATTGGGTCATTAAATGTAACTTTTGGTGAAGTATTTTAAGCCAGTTAAATGCTTAAGAGCTATAATAACCCCTCTAAACTGAGCATATGCGTGGGCCCATTATTTACCCTCGGACTCATAATGTTGCGGTTAACTTATTTCCCACACTAAACAATTTTTTGTGTGTTTTTCTGTAGAAGATCAAATGGAAACAGACCTATTGGAAGATGCAAGCTGGTCTGACAAACATCTACAGGAGGCTCCCATTCACGGTTCTTCAGCAAACCAGAGCCCTGTTGGTAAGACATGAAATCTGTGCCTAGCAAACCTAAGCACACAGGAATACATTTAGATTGACACATTACAGTAGGCATATTGTGAGATTTTACCACCCTAAATTGAATGGCATGACTCTATAAACAATGACGTCTTCCTCTGGAGGATATCCTCTCTTTCTTAAAAACAAACTCCACCGTGACGTAATCACCCAGAGATGTAGACAGAAGGAAGAAGATTAAGAAAGAAGGGGAAAAGGTCATCACTGAACCATGGAGTCATGGAATAGCTGTTTGAAAGGGGGTTTATATCCTCTCTTATACATATATAGGCAATGAGCTCATATTGTTTAAATGCAATCACAGCCTATAAAAGGAACATCCAAAATGATGTTCATCTAAATCAAAAATGTAGAAATTGTACTATTCAGATATTCAGTAACATAGTGAGATGTGTTTGAATAGGAGGCTTGTAAGGAAAGGGTTATTCCTAATGAAAACATCCTAAAAGCTCATGTGAGACCATCACATGTCAGGCACATTGATATCTACTCTGGGGACGAATCAATATGCTGATATAGACAAATATATCTTAATTGCATATTTAATAGGTCACACAAGTAACAAATAGAGTTATTTCACCATTTCTTTCTTTCATAATTTAAAAAAAATCAGTATTTCTCAAATATTAGAGGCTTGTTAATGATATTCCAGGTGTCAAAGAACAGATCCCTACCTCTCAGCCTCTGCAATTTCTTGATTCATCAATTCTGCTGTCAATGCATCAGTTAATGTCAACTATGATGAGTCAGCTTCAACCAGTGCTGGAAAGCTTCAATCAAACACTGGAGCATCTGTCCAGTGAGGTGGACACACTGTCTCAGGACTTGCAGCAGTTGCGGACGGAACAGGACGATAGCAGATCCATCAGCAGAGGTGAAGGTCACAGTGGATCTATTGAGCAGAGACTAGAGTACAGCCATCGTCAGGTCGACCAAATGAAAACCCAACTGGACGCACAGAAAGACCAGATGGAGAGGGTCTTTCAGAGCCAACAAGAACTCCTGAAACACAACCTAACAAAACTGAAGGAAGAGATGGATGATCAGATCAGTCAGAGTCAGGATGCACAGGTCATTAATTCACTCAGACTCCTTAAAGGGATACTCCACCATTTTTTTTTTTCATATTAAACCATGTTATTCCAACCCGATCTCACGGGAATTTGTACGAATTTTACGAGGTGGCTAATTCGTAACAATTCATACGACCTCACTCGTATGAATTAGTACGATTTTGCTAAATCGTACATATTTTACGAATTAGCCAATTCGTATGAATTCCTACGAATGGCCTACCCCTGACCCCGCCCCTAAACATAAACGTCACGTGGGTTTGGGCAAATCGTACGAATTTGGTCGTATAGTACGAATTAGCCACTTTTGAATCATTCGTACGAATTGGTCGTGAGATAGCGTAGGTTATTCCCTTAACTAAGACGAGTTGATACATACCTCTCTCGCCTCAATCGCTCTGGCGCGCGCTCTTTGATAGCACTTAACTAGCCCAGTTCATTCAATATGGGCCAAGCAGAGAAGTGGCCAAACACCTCCACGTTTTCCCTATTTAAATACAGTTACACGAGTAGAGTAACTCGACCAAGAATGGCGACACAAAATATAACGTTGCGCTTTTCTAAGCGTGCAAAGTGTATAGAACTATAATGTATGGCGGAATACCACAGCAAGTGATTGGGAGGCACTTCGACTCGGCGCATATGCGTATATCTATGGACTCGACGCAGTACTATATCATCACCCTGAAGAGGGAGAGTATTTTTTACGAGTGAAAATATTACTACGCTGAGTCGAAGTGCTCCAAAGCACTTGCTGTGGTATCCCGCCATACAGTAGTTATCCACTTTACTTGCTTAGAAAAGTGCAACGCTTTATTGTGCGTCACCATTCTTGGTCGAGTTACTCTACTCGTGTAACTGTATTTAAATAGGGTAAACGTGGAGGTGTTTGGTTGCTTCTCTGCTTGGCCCATATTAAATGAACTGGGCTAGGTAAAGTGTGATCAAAGTGGAGTATCCCTTTAAGTGACTACTAAATCTTAACACATCAAAACAGTGCATAAATAATTTTGTCTTATCCCAACAGATGAATCTCCGTTCTCTAACTGAATTGGTTGAGGAGGTGAGACTTGGCCAGAAAAGGCTGGAAGGGGCACTGCAGAGACAGCATGCTGAGTTTGTCAATCAAAATGGAGGCCAGCCAACACAGGCGTCAGGAGTGTGGGAGGCCATCACTCGGCTAGATGAGAAGGCACAAAGTAACTCTGTGCAGCTCAGCAGCTTGTCTGACACGTCAAAAGATTCTGCTAGAAAGATCAATGATCTGCAGAGAGACCTAATGATTCTGGGACAGAGCATAGGGGACGTCAAACAACGCGCTGAGGTCCACTTTGTGGAGACAGGTCTGGAGGTGGAGGCTACTCGCGTAAAGGTGCTCGAAAGCATTGGGGAACTTACAGATAACGTAAGTGCACAAGAGGGCCAGTTGAGAGAAATTGAGCTTGACCTGGACAACATCTATCATCAACTACAAAGAAATGATTCGGTAATTGGAGAGCAGGTCTGTAGCTGCAAATCTATGGGAAGTTCACTAGCTAGGTTGGAGCTGGAAGTGGCTAACGTGACACATTTAACGAGACAGAACCGACTTGCACTTGAGGAGGCAAATCTAGATAGGAATCAGGCCACTCAAATGGAGGATCTTCATCAGGGCCTGCTGAATATGAAGGAATCATTGGCATTTGAGCAGAGCAAAAGCAGGAGTCTTCATGACAGTATTTCCCAGCTACAGGCTTCACTCCTGAACAGCCAGCAAGAGATACAAAGCCTGAAAGAGCGGGACGAGGACAAGTCGGCTGAAATTCAAGGCCTATCAGCCACCTTCTCTTCCCTCCTGAATGATGCTGTACGCCACTCTGAAGTCCTGGAAGTGCTACTCGGAGAAGAGGTCTTGGAATTCACACGCTGGTCACAAAGCCAAAAGAAAGAGTTCAGTATTCCAGATCTTTTCCAGAGAATGCATGTGATGCAGCAAAAGATTGAGACACATGATAGGAGTCTGAATTCTATTCGGAGAAAGCATCCTGACGGAGATGACATGAATAGCGATGACCCGGTGGCATACTCAGAAGGGACCACCACAAAGAACCAGATGAAGGGCACTGAAAGTTACCAGTCCTCATTAGACCCTTTGACTGGAGAGGAGGATGTGGATTACTCGGTCAGTGACTTCTGGAGTCTAGGAAAAGAGGTGGAGCAATTAGCAGGTAGAATAACCATGTTGGAAGAGCGCTGTGGCAACTGTACTGAGCCCCCTGGTGGCTCTGTTGTGGAACTGCAGGCAGATATAGCATACCTACGTCAGAGCCTAGAGCATCATTTGGGGATGTTTCAAAAACTCTTCAGTAATGCAGAAGAACTAGCCAGCTCGGCCAGAAGCCTGAACCTATATGAAGTTTGGAGGTTGGTGAGAAAGAAAGAAGAAAAGAAAAGGAGGGGGCACAAAAAGCAAGAAGAACAGGAGAAAAGAGAAGAAAAGGCTTCCAGTGAGCGACGCAAAAGATACAGCGAAACAGGTAAGATATCTCATTAATACAGTTTTTTTTCCACTTTCCATTAGTTTTAAACATGAATGAAGAAGATATTTGGTCCTGAGAGGCTAGTGTACACACAACAACACTGCCTCTAAATGGACGACACTGAAACTACATCATGACAAAGCAGTTTTTCTGTTACTTAAAAGTATACATTTTACCTAAACAAATCATCAAAATATATTTATCTCTTTAGAACATGCTCGGTTACCACATCCCCCTGTGGTGTTCATCACAAGCCTGGACTACAGAATAGGGCCAAATGGGGAGCTCACATCAAAAAATGTTGCTGTGAACTACGGTGGTACTTTTAATCCTACATCAGGGGTGTTCCAGGCCCCTGAGACGGGACTCTATCTCTTTTTAGTGACCTTAGACTTTGAGAGAGGCCTTTCATTGGCTGTTCTGAAGCGCAGTGGAGTTACAGTGGCCTCCCTCAGACAGGAACAAGGGGAAAAGAGGGGACCAGTGAGCCGAGCCTCTCTGCTGGAGCTTCGGCGTGGGGAGGAGGTTACATTAGAATTGATGCATGGATCATTACGAAAAGCGCAGCCTGGGGATAACAAACTGTCTGGACTATTGCTCTTCATTACAGAGCACAAGGACATGCTGTGAAAAGAACTGGGTGAGCGACAAAGGCATGGGAGGATACATTCAAGTCTGACGCACTGTGCGTCACTGCCAGACATGCTGTAATTTGTATGCATGTATCCTCTTCTTGAAGGTGCAAAAATACTTGTTTAAATACGTTTTGTAATTGGTTCTGGAATATTCCTAAAAACAGGTCAGAAATAAGGGGATGATGGTTATATAGCAGAACAATTTAGATACCACCAGACCTTCTAATAATAATGCCTTACCAGTTACTATGAGGCGATATGAATAAACAAAAGGTACCAATAGTGAGGGTAATTCTGTACATCCAAAAACGAGAATCCAACAATTCATGCATTCAAATGATCACATTCAATGCACATGTCAATCAAGAAGAAGGAAAAAAAACATGACTGTGTACTAAAATAAGGTAATTTACTTAAAAATGGATACATTGGACTAATTATGTGTACAGAACAGCTTTTCTTGGTAAACATAAGGCATATCTCTTAAAACCAGATACTGTGCACAATACAGTTAAAAAAAAGGTTCATATTATTCAGGCCATTTTACATATTTCCTTACACATTAAACAATTAGGACAAAAAACAAATTGTGTCATTTATCTAAACAGATAAGCTTAAATCAGTTAACTTGCATGATTGTAATGGACAGAATAGGCTTGAGCACAAAACTGCAGCCCAAACAATGAGAAAAGACACGCACAAGCAATGCAAGATCTGAATCTTCAAAGCAAAAGTTTTAGTACCTCTCTCTCTCTTTCCTTGTACCTTTGTAGAAATGCAGAAGTGGAATGAGATCTTCATTACTTAAATTTCACAGGCAGCTATAAATCACTGGCATAAATACACTCCCATGAAATAACCTGATCTTCAAGAAATGGCCAACGTGTTTCAGAGGGAAAGGACCCTGGTTTTGAAGTTAAACCTGAATTCCCCACAAGTGCTAATAATGTATTGCATGATTCAAATCATTGACTAAGCTTGCAAAAAAGAAAAATGTGTTCACATGACCTCATAAGTTATGGGGAAAAATGTTCATGTGAAAGGTGAACTTAAGTCGCCTGTCCTGACTAAATTATAGATAAAGGTCTAGTTTTACACGTTAGAACAATGAAAAATGATAATTCACACCCACACTTTCATAGGAAGTCATTAAATGTAGAATTTCATTTTAAAGTTTACTATTACTAGTATTTGTAAGGTTGAGCTGCTCAGTAAAAACATTGAGAAAGTCATTTGCAAGAACAGTGTTAATAGTCCTGCAAGTAAAAGTATCTTACCACAATAGTTCATACTACATGACATGACATGAATAAATAGCACATGCATTTGCATTTTTCAATCACATTAGACATTTATGAGTCAAATGATTTCCAAGCGTCACAACATTGGATTCAAGGCAAAACAGTTCAAATGAGGCATTGAAAACAGCAATCCAATCTGACACTGAAAAAAAAAAAAAAAATCAGATGTGATATACTGAGGTTGACTCGAAGGCTGTAGGATAAAACAAAACAATGGTTATGAGGCATTTGGGAGCAGAAGGCATCCATTTGCACCGACACGTCTGCGATAAGGCAGGTTAGATCTGCCATTCTGGGTGATTGAAAGTCACAATATCTTATAGATGAATAGATTTTTTTATGGCTGCAGTGCTGGCAATATTTGACTGATGGTACTTCAATTCTTCATGCCAGAGCTGGAGTTATGATCACATTACTCATTATACCTGAACCTTCTATTTCTAACAACAAATCCATTCCGGGTCTTTGCAAAAGTAAAAAACCCTATCGCTAACACCCAGTTTTGTATTTGAACATCTAATGGACAGATTCTTAGAAAGGAAAGCAGTTGAAGGAATAATTCTTCAAAAAGGCTATTGATTAAAATATTAATATAGTTAACGGGAAATGACAAAGTGAGTTATTTGAATTAAACTATTAAACCATTTTGAAACTAGCCATAGTGGAGCACATCCCAAGCATATGGCTGGTTCGGTCCAAATATCACCACAAATATGCCCACCTCTCAAGTCAGTCAATAACAGAGCCTCAAGCCTTCTCCTAAATGGCTCCATTACTATGCTCCCATGGCAAATGGTGCAACCTTGCCACTCCTCCATACAAATGTATTGTGTTACACAGCTTTCACAGAAAGCACCATATGCTCTTCAATTCTCCCCCAATATATAAGAGTGTCTGAAGAAGGAAAAATGGTGGCGATGGGTATGGTGTGAGTACTGATGTCTGTTGAACAGTTGTCCCTACTTCCTCGTGGATGCGTTATGGCACATACTGTCCAGCAGAGGGTGCTACATGACACTAAGAGCCTAACTGCAACAGGACGAGGAATTACAGCCAGACAGGGAGGCAAATGTTCTGCTCAGCAGCGCTCCCACAGGTCACAGGCAATAGTTCATAAATCGAGCATAAACATCTCCATGATATATCTCAGACTGGCATATGGAGGGAAAACTGGTCATATTTTGATATCCTGTGATTCAACCATTTTGGCAAGTGTTTTCTTGACCCGAAGAGCAGTGAGGCGAGAGGAGGGGTTGTGGGCCCAGCACTCAGACATAAGCTTTAGCATGGCCCGTAAGCACTGTGTGGAGATGGAGACAAGAGACAAGTTGTTTTAGGTGGTATTGCACAACAATTAAATGGTTAAAATGCAGTGACATTTAAAGGCCTCATAACATCAAACGTTCTGTGGCTTTTAGCATCCATCTGTTAGCAATGTTAGCATCTGTTAGTTAAATGTTAAATGACGCAATGACTTCTTATAAGCACATTTGTAATTTACAGTGATTAAAAATGAAATGGTTACAAAATATTTCTATTTTAAATAAATGCTTGAACTATTATTCGAAGAGCCCTGAAAAAAAATGCATCAGAGGTTCCACCAAAATATTAAACAGAGCAACTTTTTCAACAATAATAAGAATTTTTCCTTGAGCTCCAAATCAGCATTTCTGAGGGATCATGCAACACTGAACTGAAGACTGGAGTAATGATGCTGAAAATTCAGTTTTGCCAAAGATATAAATTACGTATTTAAATATAATATGATAAAAAAAAAACAGTTATTTTAAATTGTAGTAATTAATGTTACTGTACTTTGGATTTTAAAAAATACCTAATTAAACATTAAATAAATAATTGTTGGATAGCAGTCTTGCTGAGCATAAGAGACTTAAAAAAACATATAAAAAAATCTTCCAGATCCCAAACTTTTAAACGGTAGTGTATGTCAACACAAGATCGATACAAATTGACCTGAAGCGCTTGATCTTACCTCGTCACTGTTCCAGCGATTAGACACCACTGGCCGCATGCCTTTGACACATACCACTTCCCTCATGTCCTCATAGGACGGTTCTGAAGGTACCATGTCCCAGTATGGCAACTGATACTCCTCAACAATACCTGCACATAAAAGAAAATACCCTTATTAAAACAAATCCATCACATATTTATAAAGAAGAAACAAACATACTTTGAAAAGTGCGTTTACATTATTATAACCTCAAAAACTCTAACACACGCAGACCATACCTCCTGTCACGCATCTGCGGGCCATCTCCCAAACAACGAGACCGTAGCTGTAAATATCAGCCATTATGTATGCTTGGAATTGGTTCTTATTCAGGGTCTCATCCAGAACCTCTGGTGCCATGTACCGCCGTGTTCCCATCCTTGTGCTCAGAGGGACATCCACCTCATTGGTGTCACTAAAATAAAAGCAAAACAAGTGTTCAAATTATTGCAAACAACTGCATACTAATTAAGTGTAAATTAAGTATGCTTCTATGATACTTTCTAGTCATTTCCAGTGTGCCAGGACATTTATTTGCATGCATGTTTGAGTGTGTGTTGTTAGATTGTCTTCACCTGTTGAATTTCACAGCCAGGCCCAGATCAGCAATGCAGCAGGTGCCATTCTTCTTTATGAGGATGTTCTTGCTCTTTAGGTCTCTGTGAGCGATGGCAGGTTTGCCCTGTGTGCCGTAGATCTCTGTGTGGAGGTGGCACAGACCACAGGCTGCAGAGTAGGCCAACCTCAGCAGAGCCTGTGTGTCCAGGGTGGTGTATTTCAGATAGTCATGGAGAGAGCCGTTCTCATGGTAGTCCGTGATGAGGAAAAGCTGAGTGAATGTCCCCGTGCCCTTAATATCTGCAGCTATAAAGCCTGGAGCAAGTCCAGAAGAAAGAGTGTGAATGTTAAAGGGTTAGTTCACACACAAATTGTATATTGTATATTTCTATGCAGCAACCATTGTAGTCCAAAGCAAATTTCCTCTCGAGGATAATAAAGTATACTACTACTACTACAATTTGTGAAAAACATTAATCTACCTTAAACAAGCAAAATGTTTCATCGTCCCTTCATATTAAAATATAAATGCAGTATACATGTATTTGACTCTGTACATAAATAATGATTGTCATATTGGTTTTGCAATGGAAGTATCATATCAAATTATTAAAATGCAATGCTCACATGTAATATGTACTGGAGTCTCTACTATGTGTTTCTTGATGGAACCTACCGAGTACATTCTCGTGTCTCATGAGCACAGTTTGGTAAATCTCGGTCTCTCTAAACCAACTGGCCTCTTCACGAGTAAAGAACACTTTCACCGCCACCTTTTCTCCTCTCCAGCGACCGAGCCACACTTCTCCATACCTACCCTTTCCGATTTGACGTACCATCTGAATTTGTTTAGCGATGGTGCGCTGGATCTGTGAATCGAGAGAATTGGGCAATTCAACTCGAAATATTTAATGGTTCATTACTACAAACATTTAAATTGAGTTCCCATGACCTTTTACATAAGTTCATTTACATAACCCTAAATCAGAGTTTTTTTAAAATTCCCTGATATTTCGTATTTTCAATTCATTTTTTTTTTTTTTGAAAAACATGTTCAGAAACGGTGCCTCACCAGCAGGGGGAGCCCTGAACCAGAGCCAGTGCTTGACTGACTAATAAGATCTTTAAGAGACTCTCCTACTGGGATGAAGGCCTCATCCTGCTCCAGATCTCTTTGGTACCGCCTCCGTCCCGTCTGTAGCTTATACCTGATCAAACAGAGCATATCATCACCTTCAACACAATGTTACATCACAGAAGCCGTTTCACAAAGGGATCAGTAACTTATTACTAAGAGCAACACCATATATCCGTGCATTTAGATCAAGCGCAAAAGGTGCTAAATTCCCTTGACTATCTTAAACGGGTGTGTCTGTGCCAGTGTTATCAGTATGCTGGTCAATAATTACCAGACTGTAGTGCATATTTCATTCATTTCAGCTGGATAAACATGTCGTTATGAAATTAAAGTCTCACCTGTAGTAACACACCACAGTTATGGCCACCAAAGTGAAGCAACACACTGTCACGGAGATCAGAAAGGCCAGCAAGTGGGCGTTCCATAACTGAGGCTCTGGATTACAATGAGATCACAAACAACAGTTTTCATCATTGATAATAAGAAATGTTTCTTCAACACCAAAATCAGCATATTACAATCATTTCTGAAGGATTTCTGTGACACTGAAGACTTGAGTAATGGCTGCTGAAAATTTAGCTTGGCCATCTCAGGAATTGCATTTTAAAACATTAAAATGAAAAACAGTTATTTAAAATTGTAATATTACTGTTTTTACTGTATTTTTGAATGGAATTGTATATGCACACACAAATATTTATTATTTTTAGGTTCTTAAGGGACGTTCCACTTACTTCCTGGAATAGGAGGTGGAAGTGTGGGCTGAAGGTCTCTATTACAGAAATCTGTGGAACAGCACTCAATGGTCCGTCTGGGCTGAGCATTAGGAGAGTCCTGGACAACAATAACCGCATTCAGTCATTCATAATGCCTCATCACTTAAACATCTATTCTTCACTCTCCCATTTATGTATTACCTTGCACTGGAAGTGGGAGCCCTCGTACTTCATGCAGCCGGAGGTGAGGATAGCCTCGCCGTGCTCATCCTCCTCTACAATAGCAAAACACTGGCCGTTCGTCCTGTGTAAACACACAAAGACCATTTAATTACAGTGTTTGTGATTTAGATGAGCAGTTAGAGGAAGTTGAAAGTGGCTGTTGTGAGCAGTAGGTAAAGCACATGGTGTACTCACTCGCAGGTGTTGTTTGTGGCATCTTCGGGGCAGTGGATCGAGCAATAGCAGCTAAGGAAGCGGGCAGCATCCTCGGGGGCAACGGTGGACCCGTCCCCAGTATGGGGTCTCTTTGGATCCGATCCGGGCTTGACCCCAGTGCCGTGAAGCATGTAATCTGGGTTCTGCCCACCTAGAAGGGTTGAAATAGGGGAAATCAGATTTTTAGACCACCTAGAATGTGACAGTCTCTAATAGCTTCATCATTATAGCTCAATATTTACACAAACATTGAGTCATATCAACCATATTATTAATGTCACTATGAAATCAAAATACACTATTCTTTTTTAAGGAATATTGTACAATTATAAAATGTAGGTTTCTGTTTGTGACCAGCTCAAGGTAATTGAAGGTACCTTGAATCTGTTGATGGTATCATATTTGTATGTCTCAAAATGTCATAGAAATCATGGTTTAAGGGGTTATATATATATATATATATATATATATATATATATATTCCAGAGGTGCAGCTTTCAACTTTTTTAAAATAAGTGAACCTAAAGGAAGACATGAACCCTTTTAAAATACATGTCACTCATTGCAGTGTCATCTCTTCTCTGATGATGTGTAAGAAATGTGGGGGTTCCCAGTCACAAGGACACAAATCCCCTGTTATTCTCTTTGGTCTCTGCTGAATTATACTGCAGGGAATCAAGGGATCTTAGATAAATAGGTGGGAGTGAGGAAAACAGATCACCATAGACTGAGTAAAAGAGGGAGATAAGGATTTAAAACGGGGACAAAGAGAGAGAAATGGAGATTTCTCTATGCTGTAACCTGATCTGTCTGAGTGTGTGAGCATTTGTCGCAGACAGACAGGGTGCATATTGCCTCAGGCACAAAGACTCATGTGTTTGGTAAGTATTGCTGTGGGTGCTTCCTCTTAGAGCCCTGCTTCTTGTCCCGCAGGTCTGGGCAGGCCTAAACCCAGTCAAAATAAGCCCACACTTAAACAGGCATGCTGCTGTTTAGTAAAACACCACATTCCACACCTAGGATCTCATTACTAGAGCTGTGCTTCAGACCCATCTCACATCTTAGACTCCTTTAGACTTGCCCTACATCTCTATCTCTGAAAATTAACATAAATATTAGATAAATGGCCAGGAGATAAAAATGCAAACAATTATAAATGGCAAACTCCATCCAGTAGGCAGATCTTACCTGCCATCAGCAGAGTTACAGGACAGCAACACCTCTAGCCTTATCAGCTGGGGTGGAGACCACTAAAGTGATATACAGTCTGATAACAGAAGCGTGGAGCCAGGACGCTTTTAAACCCTGAGAGCTGATATCAGCTGGGGGAATGAAGAGGACGTGGCACAATAATATCGGAGGAAGAGAATAAACAAACCGCTTGTTAAACATCTACAGGAGAATCACGCAATTCAGTGAATCACAATTCATAAATTCATTGTTCCTGAGCAGATGTTGCTTCAATACATGTCTACACTCATATTCAGTGCAATCAATAAAGAAGAAGGTCATGTCAATAATCAGAAATACCTAAATCTGTATTTTAAGTGCAGTCACAGCTGCATCTATGTGGACAGAGGCAATATGGATATATGGACAGAGTATATATTTGACTATATTTGTGACAGAGAAAGTGCATAAAGGGCAGAACAGAATGGCACACGTAGTGGGATGAATCTCATGAATAAATCTACAGATCATATTACACTCCAAAATCAAACACACACACATGATTTTGGATACAAATACAATTAAAGAATTAGTTCACCTCAAAATGAAAATATCCTGATTATTTACTCACCCCAATGCCATCCAAGATGTGGAAAAAATATATTTTTTTACTTGGGTGAGTAAAATATCACACAATTTCTCATCACCTTGATTTCAGTCATTTTAGTAATGCTTTAAAGAATGTATTCATCTTAGATAATGTTAATTTAAACATTTACTAATAAATTATTTAAGTCAAAAGGACCTAAGCTAATATGAATATGAACAATGGACATTTTGTTAATGAAATAACTTTAACAAACTTTAAAAATCACAAATGTATTGCTTATTGTTAAATCTATTATAATACATGAAGTATATTTTATAATTAATGGTTATTAAAAATCTTAATGGTCCTAAATGCAGGTTTTATTTCCTTACAGCACTTTGTAATTTCTTTCATTTTGATCGTAGGCTGAAATATGACCTGGGCATGTTTCATCATGAGATTCACCTAGGGACTAGAAATGATCTGAACGGAAAAAAAACATCATGCTCAGGCCAGGAATGAAAGTGTGCTTGACAAAGCAGTGGCTATAATCAGTTTTATTGAGAGGGATACTGGAACAGATGTGTTGAGCACGATAAGATGTTACTCAACACCAAGTCAATTTGTGGAACATTGCTTACAAAAGAACGTGTCATGAAACATGATGTTAAATGGCCTGAGGGTGAAATGGTGAGAAGTGGGATTAGAAGGGAAAGTGAAAGACCAGATTAGGAACACAAGAGTCAGGATTATAGTGTGTAAATATGAGGTTGAAGACCGGGTCGAGTGGCACGAGCTCTGGAGTCTGATCAAACACTCTCGAGTCCGCTCTAGTGTGTCCTTTCTTTCTCTTTTCATGTAATACTTGTCTCCTGGTGTATGAGTCAATCCATTCATATGCTGCTTTTCTGCAACAGCCAGCGATATACATCTTCTGTTTATGTGTCATAGTTCATTTTTTGCAGATGAGAAATGTTTATTTGAAGCCATGAAGTTGTCCCATGGCCCCCTCCATTTGGGCAAAATGCAAAACGCCCGGCTAAAGCATTTGATGTAGTATCTTTGATCACTTCAGTTTGGTCCAGGCGCTGATGCTGTCACACAGGGCCCAGTGTGATAATGGAGGTGGAAACCGGTAACATAAACACAGTAGAATAGAGACAGGAAAAAGAAAGAAAGAAAATATTGCTCTGAAATCCCTGCTCTCAGCGAGAGGCCGGTAAATTGAAAGAATGCGCATGGTGTAGTCAGAAACGCAGGCTGCTTTTAAGATGACTGTAAAAGGCAGGCTAATCTGTATGATGTGTTGATCCCTACACGTCCTAACAGCTACAATGCGCAGATAAGCGCGAGCTAAATTCCCGCAACCACATCAGCGGCACACAAACAACCGCAGGGCTCAGGAATGTTATCTGAGCTGAAACACATAAAACAGGTTTTGAGCCAGAAGGTTTACTAAATCAGAGCAGATGGGACTTTTGTGCTATCTCCTCTGAAGTACCTCTGAGGCACCAAGTGGTTCATTGACATTATGAAGCCACTGAATACATTTGCTCCCTTTCCCCCTCTCTGCTTTCTCCTTGGCTTGGAGAAAAGAATCTACAGAGTATCGCCGTGCTCCTACATGTGTGCTTGATTGTGGCTCGCCGTCACCGTGGAGTCTGAGGTCTGGCAGTACTCAGGCAGTAATGAGTCCTGCTGACCGCATTCTCCCAGCCTGTAGGCAGCTCAGCTCAGACTCCAGCGCCGGCCTCTTTAAGAGACACTTCGGCTCCATTTTCCATACAGTTGGCCCAAACATATACACAGGACTCTACAGTTACATGTCTAATCAGTGAAGGTGCTGTGGAGCACGCTCATGAGCCCCAAGCAACAGGTGAAGCCAATCAGAAATCTCATAGTGTAGATGGGTAAAGCAGCTTGTAGTTTATCACAGTGGCCCCAAACGCATTTGAACACTTAATGCCTACTACAGACAATGCGATTTCAGCAAGTTCATTACTAAATCAGATTTTACGACATGGATCTAATAAACTTGAGTGTGTCATGTATGTAGACTATGGCATGATGACACCTATTGAATCGTAGGCTACGGCACAAGTTAGTATAGAGGAATAAAGCATTATCAGCATGCGCTAGTGGTAAACAAACAGAGCAAGATGAATAGCGTTTTGGCAATTGTGGTTTTTGTGCGCGCTGAAAAAAAGAGGAGGAAGCGAAAGAAGAGAATATGGACGTGGTCATGGCAAAAGAGGCCAACTTGGCATGCCAATTTTGCAAATGGATCTTGATGTAGGGGAGCGTGGGGGCACAAAGTAACGCAGGGCTAGTTGTAACACGCTTGTTTTAAATACTTCCACACATGGTGGCATGATCAAACTTGGTGTATTTACTAGTTGCCATATCAACACTATATAGGCTATAGAGAAAAAAAATGTGCCAAAATTCCGAAATCTTTGTAAGATATCACTGAACATTTATTTAAACGTAGCAAAAGTCAATTTTTCATCTCTATTTTTTGTATTTATTTAAAATTAAACAGATCTGATATTATTTTAATCTCCAATCTGTTGTTTAACAGTTGATATAGTTCTTTAATGCTTCGCCAACTAGCAGAAGACACTAGCGGGGGTTTAAACCCCAGTTGTGCAGTTGGGGCATGTTGTAACACTGCGTTACAATGTGCCCCTATTAGACATAAGTTATTATATTCTATACTTTTATGGATTCTGTTGAGAAAACATGAGAAACACGTAGATAAAGACTGAGAATCAATGTTCAGAAATTATTAATTATTATTTTGTTTTGAACTATGCTGTATAGCTGTGTTTTCCGGTGTGTTTGTCGTCAAACTCAAAAATTAGTTTATTTTTAATTATAAAAAATGCCATTATTGTATAAGAAAAAGTTAATAATTGTATTTTATTAAGAAAATATTTTGATTTGACTTGTATATGTTTTTGATGGCATTTTAATATGTCATATGGTGATGTTACAATGTGCCCCTCACATGTTACAATATACCTATGGGGCATGTTGTCACATTTCACTTCCATTTTTCAGGGTAAATCAAGAAAAAAGTATGCACTGTATTAATATAACAAAACCACATAATTGCACTAGACATGTGGTAAATTAATGTGGGAAAAAATGTATACTCTCAACCCCAAGTAGATGTACACAAACTGAGAGAGTCAAAAAGCGTTAGGTTGTGTCCCGCTCTCCCCTAAGTTTTAGCTCCATGTCAATACGTCATTTCATGTAGCATTTTTATTTGCCAGTCAGTAAACGGAGGTTGTAGCACTAAACACTGTAAGATGATTATGCTAAATTTTTGACACAGGCCTTTCAATTTATTGCAGGCTATCTTTGGTCGCAAGACCGTGACAACG